AAGACCTCAAGGACATCCTCTATTCTTTTTTCTCCCACCCACAGTGACATTTTTAATCTGGTTGTCCAGAGTCTTTTCCAGAGGGACCCTATGTAAATATTTCCCAGCCTGCTTGCCCTCTACCCTAAGCTTCTGTGTGACTCTGTAGCAAAAGCCGAAGTCCCTCTTCATAATGAGGTCTTACAGAATGGATGCATGCTAGCCAGCATCCTCTCCCCTCATTCCATTCATTCTTGGTTATCCAGGGCCTTTACACTTAACCTTTTAGGCTTCATTCTGAGCTCTTTCTAGGTACCACCTCCACCAAGATGCCTTTTCCATCCCTGTTTTAGGGCCTCTCCTTTCCAGGACTCTCCCTGCCTGCTAGGGAGGCAAGACCCGTGGTGTCTCTTCCCTGTTGGTTCCTCAGCTTTGAGGACGTGGCCCACGTTCCATAAATAATTGCACAAGTCGTGTAAGATGATGGCAAGAGTCCAGAGGCTTGATGGATGGGCAGACACCAGCTGGAGGTTAGAGAGGGCGTGTCAGACAGGGTTTAGAAAGCGCTGCCCCCGGGCGGTGGTGGCGTGCACCTTTAATCCCAGCACTTGGGAGGCAGAGGAGGCAGAGGCAGGCGGATCTCTGTGAGTTCGAGGCCGGGCTGGACCGACAGCCTCCAAAACAATACAGAGAAACCCTGTCTCGTAAAAACCAAAAAAAAAAAAAAAAAAAGAAAAGAAAAGAAAGAAAGAAAGCGCTGCCCCTGGTCCTGGGGGCGGTGGTCCTGGTTTATCATAGAGGTAAGTTGTCGTCAGATCCAAGGCTGGGGCTTCTTGAGACTTCCGGGGACAGCCCTGTTGTTCTCCCCTCCCCCTCCTTCCCCTAACCTCCTCAGGCCAGCTCTGGGGTCTCGGCAGGTCATCCACAACATGAGCTCTGAGTTCTTCGCGGCTCAGCTTCAAGCCCGCATCTCTGATGAAACCACTCATCCAACCTCCTTCTATGATCCGGAATTCTACAGTCCTGATGATGGGGGCACTGCTCACCTGTCTGTGGTTTCGGAGGACGGCAGTGCTGTGTCTGCCACCAGCACCATCAACCTCTAGTAGGGACTGCGCGGCTGCTGGGCGGAACCGGGATATGATCAGCGGGTTGGGGGCTACCTTCATTTCCTATGAGGGCCTCCCTCCTCTGTGTTGGGAAACAGGCTCCGCCTTGGTTGCACGCCTGGGGTGGGCCTCCTAGGGAGCACTCTTGGCCTGGTGTGGGTGGGCACAAGGGTGGGGAGTGGCTGGGTTGTGCGTATATTGTTCTCTGAGCTGGCTATCTTCAGTTTTGGCTCCAAGGTCCTTTCTCGGGTCAGTGGGATCCTGTTTAATGACGAGATGGATGACTTCAGCTCACCCAACTTCAGCAACCAGTTTGGGGTGTCCCCCTCACCGGCTAACTTCATCATCCCAGGTGCAGGGTGGGGGCCCTGGGATAAAGGACTTGAGTTGGGAGGGGCTGGTACGCTGACAGGCAGCTGACCGGCCTCTCTGTCCCCTCCTGCGGACCGCAGGGAAGCAGCCGCTGTCCTCCATGTGTCCCTCCATCATTGTGGACAAGGACGGCAAGGTGCAGCTGGTGGTGGGCGCCTCGGGAGGCACGCAGATCACCACATCCACCGCCCTGGTACGTGACGCCCGCCTGCCCCTTCCTGCCCCCCTCTCTCGCGCTGCCCGTGCTCCGGGGCTGCGCTGACATCTTGGCTGTCCTGTCCTGCCAGACCATCATCAACAACCTGTGGTTTGGCTATGGCGTGAAGAGAGCGGTGGAGGAGCCCCGACTGCACAACCAGCTTTTGCCCAACACCACAACAATAGAGAAAGACATTGATCCGGTAGGCGGGGGGCCGGGCAAGCAGAGTGACGGTGTGGGGTTGGAGGACATCCTTGGCTGGGGACCAGCATCTTTTGAGTCACCAGAGCAAAGAGCAGCAGCTCTCCCCTGTCCAAAGCCCTCAGCTTTGGGTCATGTCGAGCCCTTGTCAGTGACAGCCAAACAGACTGCTCCCGGGAGACCTTAGAAGCGCGGGTGTCTCTCGGGTTCTCCCTGCTCACTGGACCGGAAGTAGCGCCCACTGGACCGGAAGTAGCCCTAAGTGGGTGTGTGAGGCCCATGACCACCGAAGGGTGGTTTCGGCCACACCCGTGACCCTGCTGAGACGCCTTCGGCCCTCTCACCCCCAGGTGGTGACTGCAGGCCTGGAGGCTCGGAACCACTACACAGAGGTCACACCCACCTTCATCGCTGTGGTCCAGGCCGTCGCTCGAACATCCAGTGGTTGGGCAGCTGCTTCAGACTCCAGGAAAGGCGGCGAGCCAGCTGGCTACTGAGCGCTCAGAAGGGGGGCAGGACAGACCTGCAATCCAGGGACAAGATACTGACAAAGAACAAGAGTGGGACTTTGGAGGACGTGCTGTCCCTGTGTGGGACCGAGCAGCAGAATAAATGGGGCCAACGGCCAAGCTCCGGGAAGTCTTGCTGGCTGGACTTCCCATATTTCAGGCTTTATTGTCTTGTTATGAAACGGAGCCATCTGGCTGGGAGAACGATGAGGCAGGATCCTAAGACTTACTACTGTTAGTGATGGGGCTAACCTCAACCTTTAAGTGGGGGGAGCCCAGTGTGCCCGCGAGTTGTGACCCTCGTCGTAAATTGTCCTAGGCAGTAACACCACCCAGTGTCGGTCACTAGAGGGCGCCCCGACCGTGCCGTTAACTGGGATAACCGGACCTTGAGAATGCTTTCACATTGGGGATGGGTGTGGGCTCTCATTGCCCGGCACTTAATGGAGGTAAAACTGACAGGGAGTGAACTAGACAAGAGCCATACCTTGAAGTCACTTTCCAAGTACAGACCCAAAATGAAATGCAAAGAGGTCCAGTTCTCAATGAACACAGGCCAGCAAGCTACAGGAAAACCACAGACCCATGAGGGGAACACAGAACAGCAGTTAGGCACAACGTCCCTCTGTCCTAGTAAGGGTTACTGTTGCTGTGATGAAACACCTGGGGAGGAACTGGTTTATTGGGCTCACCCTTCCACATCATAGTCCATCTTCAAAGGGAGTCAGGACAGGAACTCAAACGAGCAGGGACCTGGAGGGCAGGAGCTGATGCAGAGACCCTGGAGGGGAGCTACTTACTGATGGCTCCCATGGCTTGCTCGGCCTGCTTTCTTTCAGAACCCAGGGCCTTCTGCTGCGCCCTCCCCCACCAATCACTAGTTAAAAAAAGGCACCTTCTCAGGTGAGGCTCCCTCCTCCAGCCAGGGTCTGTAGAGCTCACAGCTATCAACATGAGGTCAGGAGCCACTGAAGACATGTGGAAGTGGGCCTTTGGGGCCCTCACATTCTGAGAGCTAAATGTCGCCCCTAGAAATGAGCACAAGTTGGAGTCCCTGAGGGGAGGGGCCCGGTGGCTGGAGGAGGGACCCAGGAGGTTAGAAATCCCGGTGCTCCCAACCTGCCCACAGGAAAGCTGGGTTCTGTGCCTGTGGGTGTGAACCATGTCTGAGCCCTAAGGGTCTCTGTCTCTGGGGTTCCCTGGGGAAGACACATGGGCTGTAAGGGGTGGCAGTCATTCCTCCATAATCGCAGTGGAGAAGGCAGGCCAGTGTATTGACCTGTCATGTGTCACAGTATTCCATGCCCCATGCCAGAGAGTTCTGTGAACCCAGGATGCCAGAGGTGAACCTCACTCTTCCAGAGCTTCTTCGGGGACTTGGGGACTTGAGTGGCCTTTCCATCCCATCATCCTTTCCCCCTGTCAGGGCCAGCAGAACAGGCTCCCCCCCCCCGCCAAGTCCAAGCCCTTTGGGGATTCGCAGAGCTGCCTCTTTGCTCTGGCCTATGCCTGACCAGGATGGGAGGGATGATAAGCTGCCCTTGAGTCTGCTTGTCCCCCACTGCTTTTGTCTTTAGAGCTTGAGGGCCACCAGTGGGTGGGCTGGCCCACACTCAGGAATGTGCTCTGGCTCCTGGCTGAGCAATGACACGGCAATGTGGGTGACAGTTGGGATGGGAAAATTCCCACAGACACTGCCCTAGGCAGATGTGGGAAGGCTTACAGGAAACGGTCTGTCTGGCCCACGCTGAGCAGGGTGTCTGGATGTGACACTTAACAGGCTGGCCCTCGTATTTATTATGTATACAGGGTTCTGCCTGCATGTACGCCTGCAGGCCCCCAGGGGCACCAGATCTCATTATGGATGGTTGTGAGCCACCATGTGGTTGCTGGGATTTGAACCCAGGTCCTCTGGAAGAGCAGCCATTGCTCTTAACCACTGAGCCATCTCCAGCCCCCCCTGGGCCTCGTTTTTGGAGATGGGAGGGGGCCATGCTCAGTGGAAAGAGAAGGAGGGATGCTGCGAAGGTATTGAGACTGAGAGAAAGCTGAGCCCAGGGCTCTTCTGCCCTGCCAGCCTTTTAAGTCTGCTCAAGGGAGCACCTCAGTGGGGCCTCTCTCTCCAACTGCCTCCCATTTGAACATCCCGAGGCCAGGGAAAGACAGGTCCCAAGAGGACGGGGCTCACCAGCACAGGCACAGTCCTCAGTACCTCCGGACCCAGGGAGGCAGGCTAGCAGCCAGTGGGGCTCTGAGCTGCAGGAGTGAGGGTACCCAGGCAGGACAGCCTCATCCCCTAGAGGTCTAAGGTGGTGCTTCTGGGTCACCGTGTCCTAGGGTGGATGATGCAGTGGCGGCGGGGGGGGGGGGGGCAGGGGTTAGACATGTGGTCCATCTGCTCATCTCCTTCCTAGGCATGGGTGTGGCTGTGCCAGGTTGTGGTAAATGGTCCTGAGCGGCTGCCTTGGTCCATTTTCAGCCCCACCCCTGTACCATGTGGGTGCCTAGATTGAGCTGCTGCCTAGATGGACCCAGCTGGGGGTGCAGGGCTGGGGACTAAGGAGCTCCACCCTGCAGGAGACACCCTGGCCCTGAGCTGCTGGGAGCCAGGGAAGTGGCGGGAGAGTCTCCGTGAGTCCTGTGCCGCAGTTCTCCTGGGTACGGCAAGCATCACATTGCCAATGGCACTGGGATGGGGAGCCCCTGGGTGCCCTTGGGCCATCAGGAAAGGCCACGGGATCGACTGGCAGTGAAAGAGTTAACGGCAGCAGCTGGGCCCTTCTCTTCGAGGAAAAAAAAAAACCTCCCTGTAGATGCCTGGCCTGCCTCCAGGGCCAAGCTGTAGGAGCTAAAAACTGGGAAGTTCAGACCTGTGGCCAGATCTGCTTCTGTAACAAGCACTGGAGGAGCCTGGCTGCCGTGTCTGCCCGTCTGTCTGTCTGTACGTCTGTCCTCTGTCTCTCCATAAACCCATCTGGCTGGCTGACCAGCTTCCTGTTGATCCTCTGTAAACCCGCCTGCCCACCTATCTGTAAGCCTATCTATTATCTTTTCCATCCAGCTGTCTGGCCTGTGTGATAATTTATCTTTATCTCCAGATCCATTGATTTTTTTCCCCCATCTATCTGTTCGCCTGAGTTTACCCGTATAGTTTCTTTTCCATTCATCTGCCAGCCGGTTTGCTTCTCTTGTCTGTCCACTGCCCTGTGTGCCTGCCTGCCTCCCCTGCCCTCTCTCCCTGGACCTCAGAGCCATGGCCTGGAGTCACAGGACCACAGTGTGCCTGGTTCTGCTAGGTCTTGGTTTGGGTCTGGCCATCATCGTGTTGGCTGTGGCCCTTTCTCATCGGCACGCCTCTTGCGGCCCCGGGGCCTTTGCGCATGCTGCCGTAGCTGCTGACTCCAAGATCTGCTCAGATATTGGACGGTGAGTAAGAGGGGGTGTGAGTTTGGTGGCCCTTGGTGGCTTCGGGAGACTGTGTGACTGTGGTAGGGGTGTGAAGAGGACATGTGAGTGCCATGCTGGTTGTGAGGTAAGGGCCTTGTATGTTTGGCTTCCCACATCAGCCCCAGGGTCCCTACATAGAGCAGTGTAGGCGTGTCCATAGGGAAGATGGGGACTCAGGACAGAGTTGCAAAGACAGTGTGACTCTATTGCTCAAGAAGGCCACCTGGACAATGCTGGTCGGAAAAGCAGACTAAATGAGGCCTGCTCCCTTGCCCCTGCCTGTTCTGACCAAGGCTGGAACTTTTTTGGGGGGAGGGGTTCAAGACAGGGTTTCTCTGTGTAACTTTGGAACTTGTCCTAGAACTTGCTTTGTAGACCAGAACTCACAGAGATCCTTGCCTCTGCCTCCTGAGTACCAGGATGAAAGGTGTGTACCACCGCTGCCTGGCATGCAAGGCTGGAACTTTTTCAGGGGCCTAGGCAACAGGCTTTAGGGTTCCATATGTAGGTCCTGCCTACCTGCCACATACAATGATTCCCAGGGCCAAGCTTCTTCTCCAAGTCTTTGAGAACACTCACACACACATGCATACACGTACACTCACACACACATGCATACATATACATTTACACACTCATGCACACATGTATACACATACACACACTCATGTATAAACATATACACATAGACACACACTCACACACATGTGCATACACATACACTCATATATACTCATGCATGCATGCATACACACACTCATGTATACACATATACACATACTCACACACTCATGCACACATGCATGTACACACACTCACACAGGCATGTACATGCACACATTCACACACACACACCAGTGCCACAGCTATCAGGACCTCCCCCTCCTCGGCAGGGTCTGGGTGAGCGGAGTGACTGATACTAGTCGGACTAGGAGGAAAACAGAGTGACAGGAGCCACAGTAGGTATTCCCTGACCATCCAGGAAACCCAACCCACGGAAGCTTCTGCTACCCACCACGCTGCCACACACCAGGCTGTGGCAGGAAGCCACACTTAGTCCCCTGCCTCCAACTGGACCCCCAGTAACCTGGGCAAACCTGTTCATCCTTCCAGCCATCTGGGCCTCCTTCCCAGAGTATTAGCCTGGCAGCCACTGTGAGGGGTCAAGTGCCTTACACACCCAAGGCTGGGTTCTGCAACAGAGAGAATGGTGGTCTCCACCCAAAATACCACTCTAGCATGCTCTTTTACTGTTCTCGAATTCACCCACCCCTTATCCTTCCTTCCTCCCTCTTGTCCTTCCTTCCTTCTTCCCTCCCTTGACCCATCTGTCTGCGCATTCTTTCCCACCCCCCTGCTCGTAGCAGCCCCCACCCCTGCTGACCTGGTCCTCTACGTTCCCAGACTTCTGTCTCCTCTGTGCGTGCGCGTCTCCATTTAACTTGGGGACAGAAGCTCGGATCCGTAGAGGCCGCCCTCTTTACTCCACAGGGTGTTCCCAAAGGAGGCAGGAGTTAAGGCCAACTGTTGCTCTGTGCTATGAGACTCAGTGTCTATTTAATCCTCCCAGAATGCATGTGAGTATGTGTGTGTGTGAGTGTGTGTGTGTGGGGGGGTGGGGGCACACACACATACACGCGTGTGCACTCAGGCCTCACAGATTACCAGCCAGATGAGCCGCACCCATGAACAAAGGGGTGTTTCTACGAATCTCTGAGGGAGGTCTTTGAACAGGACTTGGTCTAGGAAGGTTGGGCTGTGATCGGCGCTTGGAGCTTGGGTCCTGTAACCCCTTGCACTCAAAACTCTCCCTGTTGGAAAGCGGATGTGGGTTCCCTCCAGTGTTTTGTCAAACGGTGGCTCTCCCTGCTTCCTGTTCTAGTGTTAAGAACCCAGGAGTGGGAGAGAGCCTCTGACCCCAGCTACTTATGGTAAAGGAAAGGTCAGAGACCATAGTCAGGCTAGGCCTCTGACCCCAGCTGCTTATGGTAAAGGAAAGGTCAGAGACCATAGTCAGGCTAGGCCTCTGACCCCAGCTGCTTACGGTAAAGGAAAGGCCAGGGACCATAGTCAGGCTAGGCCTCTGACCCCAGTGTCTCCCTGCCAAGCTTTCCATTTGACTTAGAAGGTTTGCCCAGGGGAAGAACCTGGCCAGTGTCACAGCAGACAGTCTCGGAGTACTGGAGTTTCCTCCTTACTGTTGTTACTGCTGCTCCTGCCATGGTGGGAGGATTGTGAAAGGGGCAGTCTTCCCCAAGTCCCCTACCCCTCCCCTTCGACCCCAATCTGCCCAGCCCTGGGCACATGACGGCTATAGCTTTATTTACCAAAATTGCAGAAGGTAGGACTCCCTTGGGTTTCTGGGCAGCAAGTTTCTGCAGGGCCACTGTCTGGACTGTGACTATAAGTGTGGTGACAGTTGAACCCCAAGGGCTTCGTGTGGCCTGTTAATCCATGTCCACCTGGTGTCTGGGGAGATGAATAACACAGGCCAAGCTATAGAATTGCACGAGTCTCAGTTTCCCTTCTGGGAGGTGGCGTTTAGGCTTGCACCGCCCTCGTAGGATGCCTGTGAGCTCACAGGTGTGTTTATCCCCACACTGGACATGTTCCCTTAGTAGCTCTGTACAGTGTCATCCGCCTGGGTTGATCTGGACATGGCCTGCATCTGAGGGAAGATTAGCGCCCGGCGCCTAGTCCCTCCCTTCCAGGACCTTGGCTGGAATTTCCACTCTTCCTTCCAGCCCGACACTTGTTCTACGAACTTCATGTTCTCTGAATTCCTGGCCGCCTCATCAGGAAGTAACGCCTTCCCTGGCCACTGGACCTCATAATGAAAGTCCCTTGGCACCTAGGGATGGTATGCGTGTATGCAAATTTCTGTGTGAGCCCACACATCCGATGAGCATGTCACGGAAGTGGTGACAACAGCCCGCTGGTTCCTTGTGGACAAGTGCCCTTGATATGTACAATTATCCTGCTGACAAAAACATTTCTCAGCGGAGAAAAGCCAGGCTCCGGAAACTGAGTTACCCGCCCTCCCCCCCCCCCCCAGCCTCTTGCAGCTGGCTAGTAGGAATATAGTGTTACTATAGTGGGACTACTGTGGCCCCGGGCTCCCAGTCTGTGTCCATGGTCGGGGGTTGGAGATACATGTGGGTAATCCATGGGCCTGTCTCTTCCCTGTAACATGTAATACTTTCGTTTGTCATGCATCAAGTATGTGAGGGGTGGTGCCTGGTTCAGCGGCACAGCTTTACCTGACATACACGGGGTTCTGGATTCCATTTCCATAACGGTAAATTAACATGTGAGGAACCCCTCTAGTCTGTCATGGATTAGGGACACCGTAGTAAGCAAGGGGGACAGAACACCCACCCACCCCCAGCAAACAGATCTGTGACTATGTTGGATGTTGGGTGTGGTCACTGTTTATCTGAAGTTTCTGTTTTATGAAAAATCTCCTCTCTATTGCCTGGCAGCATGGGGCACTTCCGATACCCTCTTTCTGCCATTTTTTTAAAATTAGGTTGTACATTAGATTTACTTTCTCTTTTTTCTCAAACATCTATTATGTATACAGTGTTCTGCCTGCATGTCTGCCTGCACACCAGAAGAGGGCACCAGATCTCATTACGGATAGCTGTGAGCCACCATGTGGTTGTTGGGAACTGAACTCAGGACCTCTGGAAGAGCAGCCAGTGCTCTTAACCACTGAGCCATTTCTGCAGCCCTAGCTCTATTTTTTTTAAATCTTGTTATTTCTCCCCCTTTAAAATGCAGTATTAAGTCACCTTTGTGTTCCTAGCACAAATTCAGCTTACTAGTGATTCAGTATGATTTTTATATCATAGACGATAAAAATATGATATGCTCATTTTTGTCCTGACAGTCTGCAGTTTTCCTTTGTTACAATTGTTTCCTCAGTTTAGCTGTGTTCAGCGCGTGAATCCAATCCAGGGCCTCGCGCCACGCTAGGCACACGCCATTCTTGCATTTGGTATGGGGCTCATGCGGATCTCATAAAGAACTGGGAAACTGAGCTTTCTTTCCCCATGGCTGTTAAAATACCCTGGTGACAGCAGTTTGAAAGAGAAAGGGTTTGTTCTGATTGACAACTCAAGATACAGTTCATCGTGATGGGGAACTCAAGGCAACAGGAACCTGGAGCAGCTGAGCGTGCCACATCCGCAATCAAGAGACGGAACAAGGACCGCCTGTGCCCTGTTATTTTTCTCCTTTCTGTACGATCCAGGGCCCCCAGTTCCAGGGGCCAGCTGGGACAACCCACAATGGGGGAATCCTGGCACCTCAATTAGCCTAATCAAGAAAATCCCTACGCACATGCCCAGCGGTGTCCCAGGTGGTGCTAAAGCGAGGCTCCCAGGTGACACTGTTACAGAGGCATTCTCTCCCCGCCTCTCTCCCTCTCTCTCCCTCTCCCTCTCTCTCCCTCTCTCCCTCTCTCCCTCTCTCTCCCTCTCTCTCCCTCTCTCTCCCCCTCTCTCTCCCTCTCCCTCTCTCTCCCTCTCCCTCCCCCTCCCCCTCCCCCTCCCTCTCTCTCTCTCTCTCTCTTTCCCTCTTTCCCTCTCTCTCCCTCCCCCTCTCTCTCCCTCCCCCTCTCTCTCCCTCTCTCCCTCCCTCTCTCTCCCTCCCCCTCTTCCCCTCTTTCCCCCTTTCCCCCTCTCTCCCCCTCTCTCCCTCCCCCTCTCTTTCCCCCTCCCTCTCCCCCTCAGTTCTCCGGAAGAAAAGCGTATTTCGTGTTATTTTAAAATCGGCTTATTCCATCCTGCCTTGTTTAAAAGAACTTATGGCTGAGCCTCCGGCACCAGCTTAGATCTTAAAGGTCGTCTCAAGGTCGTGTGGAATGTCGAGCTCTCCACTTGGTGGGACATGGGTGAACTTAAGGGGTGGGCAGAGTGGGGGGCCTCGTGAGTACTGGGGCATGCCCTGGAAGAGGACTGTGGGACCCCTCTCTC